GTCCCTGGGTTCTCAGAGGCCAGGGAGCTGCTTCCAGCTGCGGGTGAATCCTGGGTCCTTGGGATGTGGTGGTGGGACGAGAGCATGCTGGGGTCATGCGGCTGTGACCCTGTCACTGTGTCATGAAGAGGTTTGTCCCCTCGTATGTGCGGATCCTAGCAGATGCCTCCCTCCATTTGCTTCTTAAGAGAAGTGCAGTTGTGTTCAGATGTCCGCCCAGATGCGTGGTAACCGGCTGCCCGGGCAGTCTCCTCCCAGCCTGTCCCCCAGGGCTGGGTGAGCCAGGCGGCTGGGGTACATGGGAGGGTGGGTGAGTGGGCGGCTAAGGATCCCTTGCGTGGGGTAAAAATGCTGTTGGAATCATGAAGGGTTTTTAAAATTTTGTTCTGTGTCTGCTCCCACTCTAGAACGAAGCAGCCGAGTGAACGCTTAGCCCCCTCTCAGGGCAGCCCAGCTCTGCCTGCACCAGCACAAGAGGCCACCCGGACAGGACAGAGGCCCCACGGGGGAGGAGATGGGCCACTTCTCTCCCAGCTGTGTGAGTCTGTCCCAGCAGTGGGTCCATCTGCACTGCTGACGGCTGCTGGAGCCAGCAAGGCCTTTAGACACGACACTGACATGATCTGATTTATACTTTTTAAAGGTCACTCTGCATTATATGTCTATGTATTTTTTAATAACTCTAAATTTTTTTCAATTAGAGTTGACATCTAGATTTAGATTCAGGTGCACCATGTAGTGGTTAGACATTTTAAGGTTACAGAGTGATCTCCCCAGTAAGTCTAGTAGGGGTGTCTATCAACTGGGTGTTCATCCTATTCACAAGGGCTCTCTTCTCAAAGGCCCCACCTTTTACTTATTTGTGATTTATCTCACTGGGGTGCCCCTGGTTCACACAAGGATTTGGTTTTCAGCAGCACAGTTGCATAGAACCTCATGTGTATATTGCACTGTCTGTTCACCCCCAAGTCAAGTCTCCTTCCATCACCATTGCCTCCCCCTGGACCCCCCTCTCCCCTCCCCCCCCCCCCTGGAGGTCACCCGGTGATTTGACATTTAAAATGATGTTTGAGATGCGTGTCGAGGGCACAGGCCATGGAGCTGCGATTTCCAACACATGTGCCTCGGCCCACTCGTGTGACGCAGCAGTTTTTAAAACACCCCACACCTGACCTGTTGATTCAGGGCACTGCCTTCTTTCCAAGGCTATTGCCATGTTTTCCTCTTTCTGTCTTTCTTTCTTTTCTCTTTTTCCTTTTTTCTCAGGTGCTTCTTTCTAAGGAATTGTGTTTTACGTTTTCTAAGATCTGAAACGGCCAAGCAGCATTTCTTTAGGCCCCAACTTGAAGCCAGGGTGTCATACTTATCGGGCACTGTAAGGGGACAGGCCTGTGCCCAGCCTGCACAGTTCGGTGCCACGCCCCTGGGGACCGGGCACACCCGTGGAAAATCGCTCGTGTAGACAGATGCACAGGGTGAGGGTGTGGTTCAGGCACAGAGGCGGGCACGTGGCCGGGAGGCAGGAGAGGTGGAGACTGAGGCTCAGCACAGGCCCCGCAGAGGCCCATGAGCGAGGGGAGGGGACAGGAAAACAGAAGGCCCAGCAGGAGGGAATGGGAGGGACAGGGGACAGAGAAAGGGTCAGGACAGGACCTTAGGAGGGACAAGGAAGGGGGACATGAGAGGCCAGGAAGGGACAGGGTGGGGGGACAGGGGAGCAGAGACAGGGGTAAAGAAGGGGGATAGGGACTCTCCATAAAAGGGGCTGGTTTCCCTGTCCCCTGTCCCTCCTCCCCTTTCTCTCCAGCTCTCACCCTTTCATGGAGGGTCCCCTGTCCCCTGCCCTCCCCCTCCATGGAGGGTCCCCTGTCCCCTACCTCCATGGAGGGTCCCCTGTCCCCTGCCCTCCCCACCTCCATGGAGGGTCCCCCTGTCCCCTGCCCTGCCCACCTCCATGGAGGGTCCTCCCTGTCCCCTGCCCTCCCCACCTCCATGGAGGGTCCCCCTGTCCCCCTGCCCTCCCCACCTCCATGGAGGGTTCCCTGTCCCCTGCCCTGCCCACCTATGGGGGTCTCCCCTGTCCCCCTGCCCCCTGCCCACCTCAGTTTTAGTGTAAAAAAAAAGGTATTTATTGGAAGCATTTTAGTTAATCTGAAGGTTCCCATAGGCTAAAGCCTGAGAATGTAAGAATAGCTCCTCTTATGCCAGAACTTAGTTTTGCTTTGTCCTGTTAATTTTCATTTCAGGTTTGTGTAGATACTGTATCCCCTCGTATTTAACACAAACATAAACGGATCTCACTGTAGAGAATGGCGGTCTCCCCCAATTTTCCAGAATTTTGCACTTTATCACCTCACATCTCTTCCTCTTCTCCTTTCCCTCCTCCCCCTCCCCTTCCCTGTCTCTCAGATAAGAAACCACTGGTGACACTTTCTACCAATTACGTCCCAGTCACTTAATGATCATATTTTGTAACTGAACTTCCTGTCTCCTCTGCTGCTTAAGTGGGTGGTGACGCGGGCATGTGAGGATCTGTCAGGCCACGGAGGCCACTTGCCCTTGCTGGCACCTTGCATGACCTCAAAACATCCATGTTGTGTGGGCCTCTCTGTGCTTCCTGGACTGGCATGTCTATTTCCTTCACCAAATCAGGGGAGTTTTGTTTCGTTAGTTTTCCAAATAAGTTTTCAATTTCTTGCTCTTCCTCTTCTCCTTCCAGTACCCATTGATCTGAACGCTGGTATGTTTGGAGATATCCCAGAGGCTCCTTACTCTATCCTTGTATTTTTGGTTTTATTTTTCTTCTTGCTGTTCTGATTGAATGTTCTTTTCTTCCATATGTTCCAAGTTATTGATTTGATTCTCTCCACTGTTGATTCCCTGTAAATTTTTCTTTTTTTCCTACTTAGTTGAGAGTTCTGCCTGGGTTGTTTTTGTGCTGTTGAAGTACCCAATGAGTTCCTTGAGCACCCTGCTAACCAGTGTTTTGAACTCTGCATCTGACAGATTGCTTAACTCCATTTTGTTTAGTTCTATTTCTGGGGTTTTGTTCTGTTCTTTCTTCTGGGCCACGTTTCTTCGTCTGCCCATTTTGGCAGCCTCCCTGTGTTTGTTTCTCTGGATTAGGTAGAGCTGCTTTGACTCCCTGTCTCAGTAGCCTGGCCTAGTGTAGAAAAGCGCACTGGTAAACTGTGGGCTCAGAAAGGGGACAATGGTCGCTGCCAGGCCTCTGGAGTTTTTGTCCAGGAGGAAGCTGTCCCCTGGCACTTGCCCTGATGCCACACACTTCAGTTTTCCCGCTATGCTGTGGTGCCCTTCCAGCTGCTGTCCTGGTGCTGGAGCCCAGAGGGAGTGAGTCTGTGCAAGTCCAGTCCTCAGTCAGTTAGGTGCTCTTTAATAGGAGACACCTGAGAATTCTGCGGTTTTTTCTGACTCCCTAACGCCCACTCATTTATACAGCCAGAAGTAATTGGGTCTTCTCTCCTTGCACTGGAACCCTGGGAAGGAATCCCTCTCTCCCGAGGTATCCCTCCCAATTTTTATCCACCACTCATGGGTGTGGGACCACTGGTTCCATATCTCCGGGTCTCTGTGCATCTCCATGCCTCCATCCCTCCCACCCGCCTTGATGAATGTGTCTTCTCTAATTCCTTGGTTGTTCGACTTCCACACAGCTTGATGTTCTGGCAATTCTGGATGATAGTTGTTTTGTCATTGAGTTGTAATTTTTGCTGTGGTTGTGGGAGGAGGTGAGCTGTGTTTACCTACACCACCATCTTGACTGGAAGTTCTAACCAGTTTTTAAAAGTACAACTCAGTGACCTTAACTACATTCACATGTATGTTAGAAATCAACCTCCCATATTTTCTGTTATGTATTTAATTGTGGAAGGTTTGTTATGAAAATGGAGAAATAGCAGTTTTTCGTATGTGCTGCTGGGCGTCCCGGCCTCTGTGGCCCTGTGCTCCCAGCAAGAAAACAGCTCCATTTCCCTGAGAATATCCTGGACCAAACGGTAAAAATCACTAATTGTATTAGACCTTGGTCATTGAGTACACGTCTTCTCAGCGTCGGGTGGTGAACAGGAAGCGTGCGGAGGGCACTTCCAGCACATCTGCCATCCAGTGTGATGGTCGCGCTGTGAGCTGGCCTGGCCGGGATTTCCATGGAACGCTCTCGTTACAGGAAAGAAGGGCCAACAAAACCATGGTGTTTAATCTTGGGTGTTTGGCAGACGTTTTCTGGAAGGTTATCCAAGTCAGTCTGCACTTTAAGAACAATGACAGGCAGTATTTGTTGCCAGTGATAAAATGTGAGCTTTTAAGCAAACATTAGACTTTTGGAAAAAATTCTATTGAGTGGGACAGCATTCCAATACTCAGAGGCTTGGCTGGTGAGACTGGTGATGGTTCAATAAATGTGGTTACTGTGTAATGAAGTGTGTTAACATTTGGAAGATCTCACCTGACTTGGACCTGATTTTTTCCAAACAACCGATCCATGACGTGCTAAAATGATTCATTCAAAGTTCAAGACAGACCAATGTTTTTTTAAAATTTAATTATTGTTCAAATACAGTTTTCTGTTTTGGTTTTTTTTGTGTTTTTTTTTTTACTCCCATCCCAGCCCCGTCCCCACAGACCAATGGGTTTTTAACATAGCGGAGTTTGAATAGTTGATTGGTATGGTTTCAGATCCCACATCCTAACTAATCCTGAAGAAACTACCACTTGCTGAGTTGGGGTGTAGTGCCTGAGACTCAGCCGCACGGTCTGAAGAGGCCATAAAAGAAGGGCTAACGTGACTGGAAGGCTCACTAAGTGAAGCCGCACAGGGCCCCATCCCTTGATTATATGTTCAATACATGTAATGGTTAGACTGCCGTCAGCCTGTAGACCCCGTGGTCTGGGTTCTTCTGGCATAAGAGCCATAAATGGATGTTCAGGACAGACTGGAAAAGACCTGAAACCAAGTCCTTAACAAAATGCTTTTCTTGTAGGTCACCATCCCACTGTTTTGTGACCCTTTGAAAAAGGCACAGTATGACAAAGATGAGGAAACAAGAACTCTTCTTCAGTGTGAGGCTGGTACTTCGTTTCTAACTGTTATGCAGTTCCAGGACCCAAGAGCAACGGGAGTTGTGTTCCACTGAGCTGATTTGTGTTACCAACCTTCTTGCAGGCAACATGCAGACAATGATAGAATTTAAAGAGGCTGAGAAGGCGAAACTGCATTCCAGATGTCCAAGAATTTCTAATTCAAGGTGCTTTGTGACTCTAAATGAGTGGCTTAGACTTCCTCCAAGTTACTTAGACAGTGAATTTTGTAAAGGGAGCAGGTAATGGTTAATATTGTAGAAATTATGGAACCCATTGGAATTGGGAAACTTTTCTTTGAGAGAATGATGCAAACTTCTTGAGAGAGTTATAATTTTTTTGTTTCATTTTGCAATGAGAAGTCTACTGTAAGACTTCCAGCCAAGATGGAGGTGTAGGTAGACACACTGTGCATCCTCGAGCAACCAAAAGAAGGACAACAGCAATTTTAAAACAAAAAACAACCAGAACTGACAGAAAATTGAACTGTATGGAAAGGAAGTCCGTCAACCATGTGGTTAAAGAAGACAGATGCATCCAGGCCAGTAGGAGGGGTGGAGACAGGCATCTGGGTGGAGAGGACTTGGGGCAAGGCAGTGGCTGGAGGACCCAGTGAGGTGGCGGATTGTGGAGTGGGGTGCACAAGGCTTCAGCTGGCCAGCAAGGCAGCAGCTGGTAGACAAGGTGAGTGGGTGGTCCCACATTCCCCAGTGAATAAACCAGGAGGAAACCTGGGGAGCAGGACTGCTCAACCCAGGACCCCAGCAGATAAATAAAGCCTCAAACCACTGGTTGAAAACGCCTGTGGGGGTTTCGACAGTGGTGGGAGGATCTCCAGGTCTCACAGGAGAGTTCATTGGAGAGACCCCCAGGGTCCTAGTATGTACACAAAACCACCGACATGAGAATCAGCACCAGAAGGGCCCACTTTGCTTGTGGGAATCGTGGGAAGCAACTGAAATTCGACAGAGAGTAGAGCAAGCACTGTTGTTCCCTCTTGGATTCCTCCCCCACAAACAGTGTCACAACCCAGACAATGGGTTGCCCCACCCTGGTGAAAACCTAAGGCTCCACCCCTCACTACGGAACAGGCACGTCAAGACACACACACAAAAAAAATGGCCCAAATGAAAGAACAGATTAAAGGTCCAGAAAAAAATACAACTAAATGATGAAGAGATAGGCCACCTATCAGATGCACAGTTCAAAACACTGGTAATCAGGATGCTCACAGAATTGGTTGAATTTGGTCACAAATTAGATGAAACAATGAAGGCTATGCTAAGTGAAATAAAGTAAAATGTACAAGGAACCAATAGTGATGGGAAGGAAACTGGGACTCAAATCAATGAAGTGGCCTGGAAGGAAGAAAGAGACATCCAACCAGAAAAGAATGAAGAAATAAGAATTCAAAAAAATGAGGAGAGGCTTAGGAACCTCCAGGACATCTTTAAACACTCCAACATCTGATTATAGGGGTACCAGAAGGGGAAAAGGAAGAACAAAAAGTGGAAAACTTATTTGAGCAAATAATAAAGGAGAACTTCTCCAATCTGGCAAAGGAAATAGACTTCCAGGAAGTCCAGGAAGCTCAGAGAGTCCCAAAGAAGTTAGATCCAAGGCAGAAAATACCAAGGCACATCATCTTTGCATTAGCCAAGATTCAAATGAAGGAGAGAATCCTAGAAGCAGCAAGAGATAAGGACTTCCCATAAGACTGTCAGCTGATTTCTCAAAAGAAACTTGGCAGGCAAGAAGGGGCTGGAAAGAAGTATTCCAAGTCATGGAAGGCAAGGACCTACATCCAAGATTGCTCTATCCAGCAAAGCTTTCATTTAGAATGGAAGGGCGCATAAAATGCTTCTCAAATAACGTCAAGTTATAGGAAGGAGTTCATCATCACCAAGCCCTTATTATAGGAAATGTTAAAGGGACTTATCTAAGAAAAAGAAGATAAAAAATATGAACAGTGAAATGACAGCAAACTCACAATCATTAACAACCACACCTAAAACAAAAGCAAACTAAGCAAATAACTAGAATAGGAACAGAACCACAGAAATGGGGACCATATGGAGGGTTATCAACAGGGGAGTGGGAGGGGGAGAGAGGAGGGAAAGCTACAGAGAATAAATAGCATAGACAGTGGGTAGAAAACAGTGTGGGGGCAACTTTCTTTGCAAGTTCCCCAAGCCTCCATGGATGAGAGTAAACATGACTGAGACATAATGTGAACTGCTTGGGGAGGAGAGATGGCCATTTTCCCAGAGGAAAAAGGCCTTTAGCAGTGGCCAGTTTCTCAGGGGAAAAAGGAGTTGAGCCCCTTCCTCCAAAGGCTTTTATTGGGTTCTAACACACAGGAATACAGGGTGGCAAGGATCAAACAGTAGATAACATTTCAATTAAATCTGAGGGCTTAGTATGAGTCAGAGTCTGTCAGGAACAGACTTTTAGAGTTTCCTGCTGGAACCCTTAACATGAATGAAAGCACTCTTAGCAGAGGAGACTTCACAGGTGTATCAGGAAGTCTTCGTGATGCCAGATTCCACCACCCGCCCCCCCCCCTCCGCCCCAGGCTTTGGCAAAGCAAGGAGCTGCACCCTTTCCCAGCAGGTATTCAGGTTTAAGGGGATTAGAACCAGGAAATGCTTCCAGCTTTGTCAAAGCCTGCGGCGGGGGAGGGGGGCGTAGCGAGAGTCCATTGCTCCCTCTTTGTTGCACCCCCCTGAGTCCTTCCATGATGGCCTCCCACGTGATCAAGTCTGGCTTAGGTTGCCCCTGCTCTGAGGGGGTCTTACCCATCATTGGCTTCTGACCAAGCTGTGGGGGCAGGGAGAGGAAACTGAGGCAGCATTTGCTACCATACACAAGCTTTGTCTCCTGTGGCTGGCATTCTAATGGTCGTCACTCACCCTTAGCCACAGGGGGTTGAGTTACAATTCCTAGAACCTAGAACCGGGCATAGCGGTCCAAACACAATAGACAGGGGAGTACAAAAATAGTGTAGGAAATGTAGAAGCCAAGAACCTACATGTATGACCCATGGACATGAACTAAAGGGGGGGATGTGGGTGGGGGGGTTGTGCAGGGCAGAGGGGAGTGAAGGGGGGGAAGTGGGACAATTGGAATAGTAAAGTCAATAAAATATATATTAAAAAATAAAAAGTCTACTGTAACTGTTGTCTTTGTTTCTCTGTATGTGATGTTTCTTTATTCTTGGAACTTTGTAGAATTTCTTCGTCTTTGGTTTTCACTGCCCAGACTGGCAGTTATCAATCAGTGAACCACGGGATTTTGTAAAACTCACAATTCCTCGGTGGATTCCTCAGAGCTGTGATGAACGTTTTGGGCCAGGAAAAGGGAAGGACACGCCCCTGTTTTATTTTGCATGTTGAGACAGAATGAGTTTTCCTGGACCAGTATGAAATGCCCCCATGGAAGAAAGTATACATTGGTCTCTGTGCCCAGCTCCTGGCACTGCCCTGTGACTCTCTAAGTGACAGAGGCACGAGGAGCATCTTTCGTTCTTTTGATGGGACTCCGGGTGGGCTCCTGGGTGATTCCTGGGGAGGGCTGTTCACCATCAAGGCCACAGTAAGAAACTTGGGATTTCTAGCCCACCCCACCCTCCAGAGAGGGGAGAGGGGCTGGAAATGGCCTTAATAAGTGCCTGTGCCTTCATGGGGAAGCGCTATGAAACCCCAGGTGTACGGGGTTCAAAGAGCTTCTAGGCTGGTGAACACGTCTGCACGAGGAGGGTGACCCTCCCCAACTCCACTGGCCGGGTGCCCCTGTGCTTGGGACCATCCAGACCTCACCTGTGTATCTCTCTACACGGGGCTCTTCATCGGTGCCCTTCACCACATACATCCCTTTGTAAACTGGCAAACCTGTTTCCCTGAGTTCTGTGAGCCGCTCTGGCGAATTAACCGAACCTGAGGAGGGTGTCGTGGGAACCTCTGCTTTGTAGCCAACTGGGACAGAAGCTGTGGCTCACCTGGGCACTTGTGCCCTGTGGTTGGCGTCCAGAGAGGCTGGCAGTTGGCCTGTGGGACTGAGCCCCCAGCCTGCGGGACCTGAGGCTAGCTCCAGGCAGACAGTGTCAGAACCCAGTTAAATGGCAGGACGCCCAGGTGGTGTTGGGGAGAAAGGCTTGGTCACATTTGGTCACCTGACATGCCAGAGTGAAGAGAGACACAAGAGGGAAGAACTGGGTGGTTTTCCTTACACAGAAGGGGGAGAAGGTAGGCCGGGGGTCTTCACAGTTTCACACTAGGGGATTCTCTCCTCGGTGGCCATAGTGAAAGGCTCAGCACGGGGCTCTCTCTGCAGCTCCTTCTCTCTCTCTCACTCCCTCAAAAGTCCCTAACAGTGCTACTGAGATATAATTCACTTGCCACACAATTTGCCCATTTCAAGTGCCCAGTGAAGTGGTTTTTATTATACTCCACAGCTCTCTTTAGAACATTTCCTCATTCTCAGAAGGTACCCTGTGCCCATGGGCAGTCACCCCCCATTCTCCCCACCACCCCCAGCCCCCGCAACCACTGATCTACTCTCTGTCTCCACAGATGTGCCTGTGCCGGGCAGTTTATAGAACGGAATAATAAGGGATGAAGTCTGTGTGTCTGGCTCCTCCCGTTTAGCATGTTTTTTTTTAAAAAATAAATTTATTTATTTATTTTTGAATTAATTATGCTGTTACAGTTGTTCTATTCCCCCCTTCATTCCCCTCCACCCTGCCCCCCCAACCCCACCATTACCCCCCTTTAGTTTATGTCCATGTGTCTCAAGTCCTTTAGGTTCTATATTTCCCATACTATTCTTGCCCCCCCATCTATTTTCTATCTACTGTCTATGCTACTTGTTTTCTGTACCTTCTCCCCCATCTCCTCCTCCCACTCCCCTGTTGCTAACCCTCCTTGAGATCTTCATTTCTATGTTTCCACTCCTGATCTAGCTGTCCTTTTAGTTTGCTTTCGTTTTAGGTGTGGTTGTTAATAACTGTGAGTTTGTTGTCCTTTCACTGTTCATGTTTCTTTAACTTCTTTTTCTTAGATAAGTCCCTTTAACATTTCATATAATAAGGGCTTGGTGATGATGAACTCCTTGAATTTGGTCTTATCTGAGAAGCACCTTATCTGTCCTTCCGTTCTAAATGAAAGTTTTGCTGGGTAGAGCAATCTTGGTTGTAGGTCTTTAGATTTCATGACTTGGAATATTTCTTTCCAGTCCCTTCTTGCCTGTAAGGTCTCTTTTGAGAAATCTGCTGACAGCCTGATGGGGACTCCTTTGTAGGTGATTGTCCCCTTACCTCTTGCTGCTTCCAGGATTCTTTCCTTCATTTTAATTTTGGCTAATGTAATTATGATATGCCTTGGTGTGTTTCTTCTTGAGTCCAACTTTTTGGTACTCTCTGAGCTTCTTGGATTTCTTGGAAGTCTATTTCCTTTGCCAGATTGGGGAAATTTTCTTTTATTATTTGTTCAAATAGTTTTTCCACTGGTGGTTGTGTCTTTCCCCCTTCTGGTACCCCTATAATTCGGATATTGGAGCGTTTATAGATGTCCTGGAGGTTCCTAAGCTTCTCCTCATTTTTCTGAATTCTTATTTCTTCATTCCTTTCTGTTTGATGATTTTTTTTCTTCTTCCTTCTGGTCCACTCCATTGATTTGAGTCGCAGTTTTTTTTTTTCATCTCTATGGTTTTCCTGTGGAATTCCATTCATTTCCCTTAATTTAGCCTTCATATGTTTCTCTAATTTGTGGCTATAGTCCACCAGATCTGTGAGGAAGCTGATGACCAGTGTTTTAAACTGTGCGTCTGAGAGATTTGCTATTTCTTCGTCACTTAGATTTATCTGTGGGGCTTTGAGGTCTTCCTGCGACATTTTTGGTCTGTTCTGGCCCTTTAAGTGGGAGGAGCGGCGCCTTGGATTCCCAGGTCGCTGGGTTGTGACGATGTATGTGGGGGCGTGGTCAGAGCGGGGAAATGGCCGCCGCCGCCTCCGCCGGTCCAAGCGCTCACTCCCTCACCCGCGTGCAACCATGCAACCTCAGTCAACTCGCTGCCACCGCCTCCCCACTGACTCCTCTGTAGTGGCTCACCCGGTGGGCCGCTCGGTTGCTCACTAGGTCCAATCCTGGGTTTGGAACCCATGCGACTGGATTCGTGCGTCTGGATTCCGCGCCCAGGTCGACTCCTTTGTAACTCCTCACCCAACGCCGGTTTCGCCCCTTACCGGTCGGGCCGAAGAATTTGTTGTTAGCGGACTTCCGAAAAGTTCAGTTTTCCGTGTTCTGGTTATGTTTTCTGATGCTAATATTTAGTTGTCCCTAAACTTGGTTGTGTGAGGAGGCAGGCACATCCACCTTAAACCTCCATCTTGGCGGAAGTCCCCGATTAGCATGTTTTTAATGCCCATCTGTCGGTACTTCATTTGTTCTTATTGCTGAGTCCCGTTCCACTGGATGGACATGCCCCACGGTGTCTGTTCGTCCATCCATCGGTTAGTGGTCACTGGGCTGTTTCTGCTCTGTGGCTGCTGTGGGTATTCGTGTTTAAGTTTTTGTTCTTTAAGATCAGCTCTTCTTGAAATTTCTAATTCTACTTTTTAAAACTATATTTTATTGATTATACTCTTACATTTTCCCCCAATTTTTCCTCCTTTATCCCCCCCTCTGGAGGGTTGCACCCCAGGGGTTGCAACCCAACCCTCCAGCATTCCCCCTTAGTCCATATCCATGGGTTGTACATATAAGTTCTGTGAGTTCTCTGTTTCCTACAGCATTTTTTACCTCTTCCTGTCTCTTTTATGCCTATGAGTTATGCTTCTTACTCCCTGTACATTTCCCCCCTATTCCTCCCCTTCCTCTTCCCACTGAAAACCCCCATGTGATGTTCATTTGTGTGATTCTGTTCCTGTCCTAGTTGTTTGCTTAGTTTTTGTTTTCATGCTTTTATGTTTTTTTTGTTATTTTCATTTGTTGATAGTCGTGAGTTTGTTGTCATGTTACTGTTCATAGGGATTTTAATTTATTTTATTTTATTATTATTATTTTTTAAGAATGTTTTTTAAAATTTTTTATTGATTATGCTGTTACAGTTGTTCTATTCCCCCCTTCATTCCCCTCCACCCTACACCCCCATCCCCACCATTACCCCCCCTTTAGTTTATGACCATGTGTCTCAAGTCCTTTAGATTCTATATTTCCCATGCTATTCTTGCCCCCCCATCTATTTTCTATCTACTGCCTATGCTACTTATTTTCTGTACCTTCTCCCCTCTTCTCCTCCTCCCACTCCCCTGTTGCTAACCCTCCTTGAGATCTTCATTTCTATGTTTCCACTCCTGATCTAGCTGTCCTTTTAGTTTGCTTTCGTTTTAGGTGTGGTTGTTAATAACTGTGAGTTTGTTGTCCTTTCACTGTTCATGTTTCTTTAACTTCTTTTTCTTAGATAAGTCCCTTTAACATTTCATATAATAAGGGCTTGGTGATGATGAACTTCTTGAATTTGATCTTATCTGAGAAGCACTTGATCTGTCCTTCCATTCTAAATGAAAGTTTTGCTGGATAGAGCAATCTTGGTTGTAGGTCTTTGGATTTCATGACTTGGAATACCTCTTTCCAGCCCCTTCTTGCCTGGAAGGTCTCTTTTGAGAAATCTGCTGACAGTCTGATGGGGACTGCTTTGTAGGTGACTGTCCTCTTAGCTCTTGCTGCTTCTAGGATTCTCTCCTTCATTTTAATTTTGGCTAATGTAATTATGATGTGCCTTGGTGTGTTCCTTCTTGGGTCCAACTTCTTTAGGACTCTCTGAGCTTCCTGGATTTTCTGGAAGTCTATTTTCTTTTGCCAGATTGGGGACGTTCTCCTTTATTATTTGTTCAAATAAGTTTTCCACTGGTGGCTGTGCCTTTCCCCCTTCTGGTACCCCTATAATTCGGATGTTGGAGCATTTAAAGATGTCCTGGAGGTTCCTAAAACTCTCCTCATTTCTTTGAATTCTTGCTTCTTGACTCTTTTCTGTTTGGCCATTATTTGCTTTCTTCTGGTCCACTCCATTGATTTGAGTCCCAGTTTCCTTTTCATTGCTATTGGTGTCCTGTGCAATTCCATTCATTTCCATTAGTTTCGCCTTCATATATTTGTCCAATTTGTGGCTATAATCAACCAGTTCTGTGAGGATCCTGATGACCAGTGTTTTAAACTATGCATCTGAGAGTTTTGCTCTTTCTTCATTGCTTAGATCTATAGGCTCTGGGGCTTTGAGATCTTCTTGCGCCATTTTTGGTCTGTTCGTGCCCTTTAAGTGTGAGAAGCGGCGCCTTGGACTTCCAGGTTGCTGGGTTGTGATGCTGTATGTGGGGGCGTGGTCAGAGCGGGGAAATGGCGACCCCCTGTGCTGTTTATCACCGCTGCTGGGTGAGGAGCAGAGCCTTAGGTGGTTCACGTGGGCCGGGCCACTCAGAGTCGCTGGGTTATGACGCTGTATGTGGAGGTGGGGTCAGACCAGGGAAATGGCGGTGCCCTCCCTGCCGCCTGTCCACCTGCGCACAAATGCGGGACCACAGTCAACATGCAGCCTCGCTCCCCTGCTGTCTCCTCCTCGGTCGCTCGCCTGGTCACTCGCTCGGTCGCTCACTAGGTCCAACCCTGCACCTGGATTCCGCGCACCTGGATTCCGCGCGTCTGGATTCTGCGAGCCTGAGTCCGTCTGACCGAGTCCTCCTGTGCAACCCCGCTTCACCAGCCGCTGGTTTCGCCCCTTACCGGTCAGGCTGAAGAATTTGTTGTTAACGGACTTCCGAAAAGTTCAATTTTCCGTGTTCTGGCTGTGTTTTCTGTTGCTAATATTTAGTCGTCTCTAAACTTCGTTGTGTGAGAAGGCACGGCACATCCACCTATGCCTCCATCTTGGCGGAAGTACCTGTTCATAGGGTTTTTAAAAAATTCATTTATCTTTAGACAGGAAGGGAAGGAGAGAGAGAAAGAAACATCAGTGTATGGTGCCTCTCGTGCGTCCCCTGCTGGGAACTGGCCTGAAACCAGGCATGTACCCTGACTGGGAATCAAACTGCGATCCTCTGGTTCACAGGCCTGTGCTCAATCCACTGAGCTACACCAGCCAGGACTGTTCATAGGTTTGGATCTTCTTCAATTACTTAGATAAGTCCCTTTAGCATTTCATAGACTAAGGGCTTGGTGATGATGCAGTCCTTTAACTTGACCTTATCTGAGAAGCACTTTATCTGCCCTTCCATTCTAAATGATAGCTTTGCTAGATAGAGCAATCTTGGATATACGTCCTTGCCTTTCACGACTTCGAATACTTCTTTCCAGTCCCTTCTTGCCTGTAAGATCTCTTTTGAGAAATCAGCTCTCAATCTAATGGCAACTCCTTGGTAGATAAGTGTCTCCTTTTCTCTTGGTGCTTTTAAGATTCTCTCCTTATCTTTCATCTTGGGTAACTTAATGATGATGTGCCTTGATGAGGTCCTCTTTGGGTCCAACTTCTTTGGGACTCTCTGAGCTTCCTGGACTTCCTGGAAGTCTATTTCCTTGACGAGATTGGAAAATGTTTTCCTCATTATTTGTTCAAATCAGTTTTTAATTTCTTGCTCCTGTTCTCCTTCTGGCACCCCTATCATTTGGATGTTGGAAGGTTTAAAGTTGTCCTGGAGGTTCCTAAGCTTCTCTTCATTTTTTCAATTCTTGTTTCTTCATTCTGTTCTGGTTGGAGGGTTATTTCTTCCTTTTGTTCCAAATTGTTTCTTGGAGTCCTGGTTTCCTTTCTGATACCGTTGGTTCCTTGAAATTTTGCTTTGTTCCACTTAGGGTATCCTTCATTTGTTCTTTCATTTTGGGACAAAACTCAACCATTTCTGTGAGCATTTTGATTACCAGGGCTTTGAACTCTCCATCAGACAGGTTGGCTGTCTCCTCGTGGCTTAGCTCTCTTTCTGGAGTTTTGCTTTCTCATTTCATTTGGGCCATATTTCTTTGTCTCAGTGCACCTGTTAAGTTGTAGGGGAACAGGGCCTTCGGTACTCACCCCGGCAGGCAACCCTCTTTGCTGGGGCTGTGGTGCTGCCTGTGGGGGAGGGGCCAGAGAGAGAACAATGCAGCTCACCCGCTGGGCTCTAGCCCACTTTCCAATGAACCCTTGAACCCTCAAGTGAGACTGGGCATTTCTCCCCCAACAGCAACCCCTGCCATAGTCTACAGTCAGCTGTGAGTCTGTTTCCGGTCCAGCCAGCCCTGCCCACATGGTCCACCACCTCGCCACAGGTTCTCTCTGTGCCCCTCGTACCGGTCTGGTTGGTCTGGTTGACTGTTTCTTTAACTGCTTGGTTGTGGGAGTTCCATGCAGTTTGATTTTCTGGCACTTCTTGTGGTTTATTGTTTTCAGATTGGTTGTTATCCTTCTTTTGGTTGTATGAGGAAAGGAATGGTTTCTACCTACACCTCCATCTTGGCTGGAACTCTCCTCACGTGTGAGTTTTGAGGTGTATACCTAGGAATATAACTATTATATATTAAACTATTACTTCAGAGACAGGGATTGCAGGAGCCAAGAGATAGACGACCTTGTCCTTATCAGAACTCTGTACTGTTTGAATTTTTACAAATTGTGTTTTGATGATAAAACGTGATTTGTAAAGTGTTTTAAATGGGAAACTAGATTCTGTAGGTGAGAAGTGGCTTTTCCATTAACTAATGATTGTAGTGGTGAAGGGAATCTCGATAACTGTAAACTCTGAGGACTATTCCATGTCTCATTGTGCAATTAGCTTATTTATTTGTTTACTCTTAATTGTCTGCCTTTCCCGTTTGAATGGAAGCTCTGTGACAGCTGACACCTAAGTGCCTATAAAGTCATCAGTCCCAGCCTCCAACTTCACTCCCTCAAACTAACACAATAGCCTCTTCACCCTTCACTGCTTCTGCTCCTTCCCTGTGTATTGGTTTGCTAGGGCTAGTGCAACCAAGGACCACAGACTGGGTGGCTTAAAGCCCTACAAATGGATTGTTTCAGAGTCCTGGAGGCTAGACATCCAATGTCAAGGTGTTGGCGAGGTTGATTCCTTCTGAGGCTCTGAGAGAGCCTGTTCTATGACTCTCCCCCAGTTCCTGGCAGTTTGCTGGCAAATCCTCCAAAATGGCTCTGCCCTCTTCCCTCCTGGGTCTGTATCTCTTGTCCTCTTGTTACAAGGACACCAGTCATTTTGGATGGAGGGCCCACCCTACTCCAGTAGAACCACCCTCACTGATTACATCTGCAATGGCTCTATTTCTGAACAAGCTTGCTTTGGAAGGTACTGGGGTTAGGACTATAAGATTTCTCTGTTTTGGGGGGAGGGCTTGCACAAGCCAACCCATAAAGGCAGTACATCTTTTCTTTTTAAAAAAGATTTTATTTTGCCCTGGCTGGTGTAGCTCAGTGGATTGAGCATGGGCTGCGAACCAATGGATCACCAGTTCAATTCCCAGTCAGGGCACATGCCTGAGTTGTGGGCCAGGTCCCTGGTTGGGAGCGTATGAAAGGCAACCACACATTGATGTTTCTCTCCCTCTCTTCCTCTCTCCCTTCCCCTCTCTCTAAAACTAAATAAATAAAATTGTAGAAAAAATTTTATTTTTATTTATTTTTAAAGAGAGGGAAAGGGAGGAAGAGGGGGAGAGAAACATCGATGTGCGGTTGCCTCTTGTACGCTACCTACTGGGGACCTGGCCAGTGACCCAGGCATGTGCCTGACTGGAAATGGAACCAGCTGCCCTTTGGTTGCCAGGTTAGTGCTGAGTCCACTGAGCCACACCAGCCAAGGCAAGGCAGTATGTCTTTTATTTGTTTATTATATGACATGTCTCCTCACTAGAATGTAACCTTCACAAGCAGGGATTTCGTTAAATTTGAAAGCCTTGCAGATATTGTTGTTGACTTTTAAATTAGGTTCAACTTTTGAACAGGCGATCATTTACATGGTTGAAAGTCAAAATGATATTCAAATGTACCTAGAGAAGTCTCATTTCCATTCCTGCCTCTGGCTATCCAGTCTTCCTTACCTCCGTAAGTCACTATTTTGATTAGTCCTCCAGTATTTTTTATGCAAATATAGACATATGTGCATATATATGTACACATATAGTCGTATTTTCGTACTTACCCCCAAAATATCATTATATACATAGGCTGCACCTAGCATTGTTTCCTTGAAACTATTTCCTGGACATTATTCCATATCATTTTATAGAGAACTTCATCTTTGTTACAGTGCTTTGTATTGCTTCTTAGGGACATACTATATAGTTGATTTAATCAACCACCTACTCATAAACACTTGTGGCTTTCATCTCTTGCTATTACCATAAATGCAGAACAGGGATTTTTATGCCGATTTTCCCCAGCCTCCCCCCTTGCCCAGTCTTGACGTCTTTCTGCGCGGAGTAGACAGTCAATAAACACGGTGGGAAGAATGACTTAACCAACACCAAAGAGCGAAGGAGGGTCTGGTAGAAAGGAGCCCGGGATCCCCATTGGCACAAGGTCCTTTGCAGAAGCCTCAGCAGGTGGCGTTGTAGGCGGCAGGAACACCTGGCCCTCCGGCTGTTTCCCTGGGAGCAGAGCTGGGTGGTGGACAGCATGATAAGAGGGCTTGTCCTGGGAACCCCTCAGGCTCCTGGCTGCGGCGTCTGTTGGCCTCGTGCCCAAGGAGCCGCGGGGCATCGGAGCCAGACCAGCTGGTGCAGAAACCACCGCTGGTCAGCCTTCACGTTGGTGTCCTCCGGCGGCGCCTGCTGGACTGGTGCCTCGGGCCCTTCTGGAGGGAGGAGGTGGGGCTGCAAGGCTGGGCCAGGCAGCCTTCCTTGGTGTCCCACGTCATCAAGGTGAGAACTGCTGGCGTCAGCCCCGTGCAGCCGTCCTGCTCCCGCGATGGCCAGGTGGGGCCCCTCCCCTCGCGCCCTGGGATTCTGGGGCGTGGAGCGGGCCACGTGTGTTGGTAGTAGCGGTCGGCAGCTGAAGGGTTCGTTCCTTTTGGCTGAAAAGCCCCGCGTAGGTCGGGCTCGGGAGATGTGAGTGGGGGGCTCGAGAAGGGCGAGCTTGGGCTGGTCGCCTATTCAAAGTGCTTGGGGGATTGGCATTTCCTCGGGGCTTGCTCGGTGGCAGCAGTGGCAGCGGGAGGGTTGACTCCAGGTCAGCGCTCTCCCAAAGGGCGGGACTCAGCGAGCCGGTAGTTGGTCCCTTGAACCAGCAGGACTTGTTCCCGGACACTGAGGTCGGGTTCCTTGGTGGCTGCTGCTGCGCTGACCTTTGGGCGCCGGGAACAGAATCCCAGCCCAGCTGCAGCTGCCCCCCCCAACCCCCTTTTATTAAGTGGGGGTCTCTGCTTTTCCAGGTCTCAAGAGGGGGCGGTGAGGGACAAGAGGATCTGTAGTCCGCAGAGAATTAACCGCCTTGACAAACGGGGTGTGTGGCGTGGGGGTGGGGGGTGGGGTTCTGTGGAAGGGCAGAGGGGACTGGGCAAGGACGGAACTGATTCCAGGCCCGGGAGTGGACGTCTGGGAGGGAATTCGCCCAGGGAACCCATGCGCAACCCAAGGGTGACTGTTCAGTTATGGTGGTTTGGTTGGTTAGGGAAGAAATCAGAGGGAAAGAGTCTCATCGCCCTTTAACGCCCGCAGTTGCCCTGGCTCAGTCTCAGGGGGCAGGGGCTGGTCCTTCTCAGGGTGCTTGTAGCCTGTTCAGAAAACAGAGAGCAGCAGCTCTTCGGCCTCGGAGCCCACCCAGACCCCTCCCTCCCTGGGGCCAGCTGCCCAGCACTTGTGGTCCTGGGACTGGTTTCCAGACCCAGCTCCCTTATTGGGCAAATAGGCGTCATGTGACTGCTGTGCTGCTGGAGAAACAGGAAGGAGTAGAGCTTGGAGGAAAAGAGATGAGTGTTGCCTAAAGTGTACATTTATTTACCTATTTGTTTGGCTTTTTTGTAATATGATTTTTCTTTTTTGTTTTTTCTTTTTTTGGCACGAGGTGACTATATTTCAACAAGTAGCAGGGTGGAATGTGTATCTAATACCACTAAAATTAATATGGAAAAACTCGGGGCTAATTATCCCTATTAGAACTTTTGTGTGATGCGGAAAAGATCAGCCGGAGTGCCTGTGTGTTGAGTTAACTCTGCATTTTCTGATAGTCCCTTGGTACAAGAATTGTTTACTCCTTGTCAGTCCTATCCTTTTGGCAAGACTGCATTAATTGATGGTGCAGATAGCCTATTACTACAAACAGTTGTACTGGTCTCAGAGAAATAGTTCTGCTTGGGAAACCTAGAGAAAACTTTAGTACATCTTTGAGGAGCTCAAAACACTGTAGCTTAATATAACGTGCATGAACTTCCAAGTGGACCAACGCAGGCTCTGCCACTTTGCAGCCTTGTATCTTCTTTCTGTCTTTGTTTTCTCATCTGTGAGGTGGAGATAATATCTTTCTTGCAGGGGTTCTCTGAGGAGTAAATAAAAGCATATATGGGAAGTGACCAGCACCCATGCCCGTCCATAGGAGGGGCTAGGTAAATAGTAACTATTGGTATAATTTGTAGTGGGCACACTCCCTTAATGCAGAGACATTGTTTTAAAAATACTGAGAAGAGAATTAGCTGGGGTCACTTTCTTCTTTGAATCTCTGTATTTATCCAGACAGTGGGCTGCAGTAGTGGATTTATGGATTGAGGCACATAATCACACAAACACATTTTTTAAACATTAAAAAAAAGATTTTATTAATTTATCTTTAGAGGAGAAGGGAAGGAGAGAGAGAAATATCAGTGTATGGTTGCCTTTTGTGCGTCCCCTGCTGGAAACTGGCCTCCAACCCAGGCACATGCCCTTGTTTGGTTCATAGCCCTGCACTTAATCCACTGAGCTACACCAGCCAGGGCACAAACACATTTAAAAAAAAATTATTTTCTATAACAAAACTGGAAAGCTGTTGAATTCAAAGTGAACCAGTGGTTCCACTATTATTTTAACATTAGACTATGCTTTTTGAATCATAATGATGTGTGTAGGTTCTGTTAAGAAAAACATCTGGACCATGATTGACTAGGGATTGGCTAAGAAGCTGAAAAAAAAAAAAAGGAAACCTTAGTAAATGTCTTACTTTTTCTTTTTAAACCTCAGACTCTAATCCAATTGTGATTTTCATTGACTATATTGAGGGTGAGGAACAGGTTAGTAATTAAAGGTGATTTTACAGACTTCTAGAGAGAAAGAGTATGTCTAAAATAGTAAATTTAGCAGTATCTTTAAAAAACACCAACTGTGTGTTCTTTGTATTTGGTATCGAATATCTGTTTCATAGACTCAGAAATACAGATGTGTAGCACATGCTGTCACTTTGATTCAAATTGAACAAGTAACTTCCCAGGTATGAAAAGCCAGTTTTCTTTGGGTAAAAATCAACTTCTTTGTAAACATTAAAATGTGGCTGTATCTTCTGCCCTCAAAGTTTAATAAATAAATAAAATATTTAACTCACTCCAATGGTTTGTGAAGCTGAAATACCTAAATGCAGTGTTTGGTCAATCCTGAGGTTAGGCAGTTCACCAAGAGACAGCTTCAGTCCTAAAATTCATATTGTTACGGTTTTAAAACTGAAGCGATACCTAATTTTACCTACTATTTTACGTGGAGGCCCTTGGTGTACATAGTGTTCCCGTTATTTTGGACATTAAAACAAGAAACACCTCTACCCTGTAATGTTTTGACTTGCATCAGGGACCGATGTAGTCAGTGCCCACTGCTACAGATTTTGGCAGACACGCAAAGTAAATCACGTGCCCGCTGTGTGCAGTGTGTTGAGCAATCTTTGGTTTTTGGCTGAGGCTTTAGATGGGTGATGGGATAGTTAACTAAGAATCGTTAAACAGAATCTACTAACATGTTATAGGATGAGTTTTATAGACCGTGTGTACCCTGTCCCACAGGGTCAAGGCCAAGTAGTATTTGAAGCTATTCCTTCAGCATATTGGGCTTCAGGTGTATGGGAAGTACTAGGGATAGCAAGCCAATGAAACCTTGTCCTCTCAGGAAGGACTCCCAGTCTAGTGATTTAACATGTTTGTTTAAAAGAGCGGAGGAGGGTGTCAGCAAGGGTGTTCACATCCAGGGGTCAGAACCTGAGTCTGGGAACCCCAGAGCCTCCTGGGGCCTCTGGGAGGCGGCCAGAGAAGGGAGGCTGAGGTCTCTGCCCCTCCTCCCAGCTCCTCACGCCCCTACAGCACATGAGACTCCCGCCCGCAGCCTCTGGAAGGATCCAGGGCTGACCTTGGAGCCCAGGCCCAGGGTGAGTAAGACAAGCTCAGCTGCTGTGCAGGAGTCTGGGGGACGCGGGTGCTCCCGGAGCCCAGCACAGACCCCATTTCAGTGGCAGCTGCAGAGAGTCAGAGGGTACTGAGCTGCTGGGCCCCGCAGCCCGGAGATCTCTGTCTTCATGACAGTCAGGCCGCATCGTCCTCCTGCTGCAGAGACAAATCCATGCAACCTTCCTGCCTCCTGCTTTGGAACTGTTAACAGTGTGCTCCTTGTGAAATGTTCAACAGGTTGGCTGTGACCAAACGCAAGAAAGAGTGTTGGTTGCTGCTTTATTTCAACTTCAACTGTATTGTTGTTAAGGGAAGGGAGAGGATGTAAAAGTTCAAGGGGGCCAAGGGCACACTGTGGTTGTGGAAGGGATGCTGCAGCACAGGCCGGGTCTGGTACAGGTACCCCGAGGCAGTCATCTGTGGGGATCTGGACAGGAGCCTGGCCACTTAACTCACCACCGAAGATGGTGACGCACAACGAGGGTGCGTCTTGGAGGCACAGGGCGCAAGCTGTGGTGGTGCTGCTGGGCCAGCCACCCTCCTGTCCAGCTCTTCGAACCTCTCCTTCACACTGTCCCCACCCAGTGGCCAGAGTAGCCAACAGGCCAGCCTTCAGAGAGATGTTCTGTTTCAGAGCCATGTGCCATCATGCAAAATCTATATCTTTGCCCTGGCTGGTGTAGCTCAGTGGATTGAGCATGGGCCTGCGAACCAGACAGTGGCGGTTCCATTCTTATTCAGGGCACATGCCTGAGTTGCAAGCCCGTTCCCTGCAGGCCAGTTCCCAGCAGGGGATGCATGAAGGCAACCACACATTGATGTTTCTCTCCCTGTCTCCTTCCCTTCCCCTCTAAAGATAAACACAATAAAATCTAAAAAAAAACCTATATCTTTATATTGAGTTATGTTTAGAGGGGAAGGGAGGGAGAAAAGAGGGAGAGAAATCATCAGTGTGTGGTTGCCTCTTGCCTGCCCCACACCAGGGACTTGGCTTGTACCCCAGGCCTGTGCCCTGACTGGGACTCGCCCTCTGCCTGCCTGTGTCTTCATGTGTACAGCAGCGATAATAGTCCCTCCGTGTATAATGCTGCTGTCAGGCTGACTGTTGTGATTGGTGGGGAGAGAACAGTGCTGGGCTGCACCCAGAACCTCAGGAAATGGCACCTCTTTGAAAGGCTGTTCCCGTGGGTGCCCTTGACTCCTGAGCACGCTGGGGTTAGGGTACCCACCGCCCTGGAAATCAAAAAATTATCAAATGTTCACCAGTGATGTTGGTGATTATGCCCAAGACTCAGAAAAAGCCAATAAAGTGCTTCAATAAAACATCGACTTCAGGCATGTTCCTCTGCTCTGTGCGAGGCAGCCAAGTGAACACTCTGGAGATTTCCATTGGCTGAGCCTGTCCCTGGCCACCCCAGGGGCCAAAGTGTTTCCTAACTTTAAAAGTATAATCACAGAACCAGCACCCGGCATAACATAAACTGTTCATGTATGTAAATCAGTACCTTCCCCCTTGTCTGTCCCTTCTGGAGGTGAAACAGAATTCTGATTTATTCTCTTTTGCTCTGTGGATAAAGTAATTTTTTTCTCGTTATAAAAGAAAGAATTCTGATTCGCGGCCTTGGAACCAGCTGAAGAATAGACCTGAATCTGCAGAGCAGAGTGGGGGTGAATGGTGTGAAATTCTGCTGAATTCACAGCTCGAGGTAAGCTGCAGTCCACTTAAAGTGCCAGCAACGATAAATTCAGCGACTGTGGTAGAGGACATCAGGGTGGCACTGGGCAGGGTGGAGGGTCTCTTAATGAAAGCATTTAGTCCCTCACACCCGGGGCCGTCTGGTGCCAGGGGGCTGCCTCCTGCCTGTCCCTGCAGTTCCTCAGGTTCGGCTCCCACTCTAGTACCCCCAGGGAAGTGCCCCACAGTGAAGACTGGGCGTATTTCTCTGGTTGTTTGACAGCAGGCAGGGGTAAGGGTGATAAAGTCAAAGGAATTCCTATGAAGTGATAGTGTTCAAATGTTCTCAAGTGAGACCTGTGTGTAGTCAGAGGTGGGCTGCCTTCCAAAACACACCTGTGAGGATGGTTATTATTTTTCCTTGAACTGGAGCTCATTTTGTCTGGTACTTCCTACCCCCGTAGGTGCGTGCTGGTTATACCCACAAAGTGACCAGTGTATACAGCAGGGGTCTCACGGAGGGGGAGCGGAGGCCAGCAAACCTCGGAGGAGTAGGAGGTTTTTGTGCCCTGGTGGTCACATGTGCCACACTCTAAATGCCTCAGATGCCGCGGACTCTCTCCCCCAGCAAATGCTCGGCTGTCCAGACCTCCTGCGGAGGGGAAACCTCCCCGCTTCTCTTTCCCTGTCTCTGCGTCCTGCCCACCTCTGGGCAGGTGAGGTGGTCTGTAGAACTAGTCACAACATCCAGTAGGGTGACTGGGACCATGGGCAGAGAAGGGACCATACGGCCCCGCAGGCGTTAGTCCTGACGCCCTAGTCCTGAGTGTGATTTGATGGTGAACCGTCTCATGTGTCATGGAAGGCATAGCGTTTGGGGGGCAGTTCCTGGTTAAGGCCTGTTACTCACACCCACCGCTTGCCCCCAAAGGCAACAAAGTGTATCCCGTGTGACTTAAAATCAGGTGCCATGCCTTGATTGTATCGTGGATTTGGTCATGGTGTCTCCACATTTTCCATCAGAACCGGGAGGACTGCTGGGCCATCGGCAGGCACAGCCCGACCCCACCAGGCACACCCACTGAGGGGCACCAAACTGCGCCTGGTCTCCCTGGCGCTGAGGTCAGGCTGGGCCTGTGCACCTGCTGGATCAGCACTTCCCTAGCAGACGGGGGCTCCTGAGAGCTGCTCTTCACTTGCTTATGTTTACTTTTCAGACAAGAAATTTAGTGCATAACATAGGCAACAGGAAAAACTGAAAGCACAAAAGAAAAATCAATTTATTTGCCAAAATGAGCTTGTTCTCCAATCTAAAATCCAGGGCAGGGCGGGGGGGGGCTGCAGGGGGTGGGGTGGGGCTGCAGGCCGGGCTCCAGGACTCTGGCCTTCTTCTGCTTGACCTCTGTGCCTGTTCACATTCAATCAGATTCTCCCTCCGAACTTCGGATGAAGCTGCCTATGGATGTGTTGCCCTTTCTCCTTTCCAAACGGGGTTGTGTAGTCTGTCTCCTCACCACTACACAGCAGAGGGTGACACCACCTATTAAGTCTGTGAGTCCTGTCTCAGTGTCTGCAGGGCTGACCTTAGCACCAGCGTGGCGCAGAGCCCGAGGTGGCCTCCAGGGTGCGCTCTCATAGCCCCAGCTCACCATCAGCACATCTTGTCCTGGATTCTGCCACCTTCCCTGTCCTTTAGTGGGAAGCTCTGGTTTCTCTCAGAAGCTCTTCATGCACTGCGTGGACCCTTCACAGAACTGGGTGGTTTTCAGGGCTAACTGGCAAGAGGAAAAAGAGAGAGAAAATAAGCGGGATTCCCCAAATTGTGTAGCACAAAGCCCATTTTCTGAGGTCCTCGCCAGAGACAGGGTTTTTCCTTTGCATTTCAGGAGCTTCTTCCCTGGCCATGGCTGCACCTTCAGGGCAGCAGCAGGGCCAGGAGAGGAGGAGGGGGAAGGGTGCCCAGCAGCCCCCACTGTGGCTCTGACAGGCTCCTGTCCAGTCCTTTCTGCGTCCTTCCCACCCTGCTCATGGAGCAGTGCTGACACTCACCTCCTTCAGGACAGAGCTTAGATGCAGGCGGGGACCCACCAGGTCACTGCCATGCTGGTCACTCGTCCAGTCCTGACTTCCATCCCCAGTCTGCACACTGCTGCTTCGCTCCAGAATCCATGGACACCGGCTTCTCTGTTCTGTCCCTAGCTCTTGGTTGTCATCAGTGAGGGGGCGGCTGGCTGTGGACCTGCTCCACACTGGTGGCTGCAGAACGCTGTGGTCTCTTTAAAGGAACACAGGGGAGGAAGAGAGTGAGTGGACAGCAGGTGGACTTTCTGCTGTGCAGAAATCAGTGCCCGGTGTTGTCTTTACTCACAGTCCTCTGAAGTGCTGTGTTGATTGGCAGGACGCACTTTTATTTTCTTCTCCTCTGGTTGCTCTTCCTGAAGAGGGTGCACGGAGTTGGCTGCACACGCACCGGGACCGGAAGGTGGGCGCGCCTTCCCGGTGCCCAGAAGCACCCTGTTCGTGCTGCTCCGTGTCTGAGCCCCTCTCACCAGGCAGTTCAGGTCTGGACAGAGGCGGGACCAGCCGTCGTGGCTCCTCCCAGGCCTTCCCGACACCACCTGTCTGTCTGTCCTGCACACCACTGGTCTGTGCTCCTTGCCAGCTGAATTCGGAGGGACAGCAAGCCTCCGGGGCACTTGGAGGAACCACAGAGCAGAGAAGCCCTGGGTCCCTGAGTCCCTGTGTGGAGAGGATGAGCCATGGTGGCTCCCTGGCCCACATCGTGGGACACAAGGACCAAGTAGATTTCACTGAGTTCAAATGCTGAAAAGTTCGTTAGGACAACTTACCGTTATGACTTTCATGGGCAGAGTCTCTGATGGGCAATTCGACTCTCCCTGGCTTGACTGCTGAGTAAGTGTCAGACTTTTGATGAGTCACTTTGTGTCCCTCATCTTCGTTTAGCCCCCAGCTGAATGGGGTGTGTCGATTCCACCCACCAGCATTGCTTGTCCCTCTTCTCTGCCACGTTGGAAGATAAATCAAAGCCACCTGTGGAAGGAGAGCGCCTATGAAGATGAGGTATCATCATTACCTCATTCTGAGCACCCTTCTGCCAAGTACATAGAGGAAAATTATTAATCACCCCTTACCTGGACAGTGTAAGTATCGCGTCTGCAGCTGTGATCTGCCGATGATTAAAAAGCACTCATTCCACCGACGGTGCCGCCAGATCATCGCACATCCTTGATGAGCGTCACTCACAGGCACTGCTCCTTGACATCCTTCACGACCCAGCCGAGGTACCCAGAAGGTCTTTAATGTACTTGGTAAAGTTTACTCCTAGGGTGGTTTTTTTTTTTTTTTTTTTGATGCAGCTGTAAATGGGATTGTTCTCTTAACTAAGAGAACCACCCTTTCTGGTGGTTCGTTGTTGGCGCATTGAAAATGCAAGTGATTTCTGGGTGTTTATTTTGTGTCCTGCTACTTTACCGGATTCATGTGTCAGTTCTAGGAGCATTTGGTGGAACCTTGAGGGTCTCTGTGTACAGAACCTGCAAATAGTGACAGTGTCACTTCCTCCTTTGCGATGTGGACGCCCTTGTCCCCTTGTCCGGCTGCTGCCACGAGGACCCCAGCGCTGTGTTGGATGAGGGTGGTGAGTGCAGGCATCCTTGCCTTGCCCCCAGTCTTAAGGGAGATGCTTTCAGCTGTTTCCTGTTGAGTATGATGTTGGTCATGAGGTTGTCCTAAGTGGCCTTTGTGTTGAGGTGTGTCCCCTTCATCCCCGTTGCTGAGAGTTCTTTGTCACGAGTGCTCAATTTTATCAAATGCTCTTCTTTCATCTGTCAATATGATCAGGTGATTTTCACCCTTCATTTTGTTCATATGGTGTATCACAGTTATTGATTTGTGGATATCACACCAACCTTGCATCCTTGGACTGCAAGGAGCTTTGTTAAGTCCACTTGATTGTGGTGTAGAATCTTATACATGTTGCTGGATCTGGTTGGCTCAAATTTTGCTGAGAATTTTGGCGTCTGTGCTCAACAGGGATATTGCCTATAATTTTCTTTCTTTGTCGTGTCTTTATCTGGTTTTGGAATTAGCACAATGCTAGCCTTGTAAAAGCAGCTTGGGAGTGTTCCCTCCTCTGGAGTTTCTTGGAATAGTTTGAGAAAGACAGGTGTTAGCTCAAAGACTTCTTTGAGTGTTTGGTAGAATTCACCTGTGAAGCCATCTGGTTCAGGACTTTTGCTTCTTGTTACTACTTCAATTTTATTCTTTGGTCTATTGAGTTGGTCTATTCAGAATTTCCTCTTCTTCCCGATTCCATTGGAAAGGTGGTGTGTTTCCAGGACTTCACCCATTTTGTCCAGATTGTCCACTGTGTTGGCTTGTAGTTGTTTGTACTGTTTCCTTACACAGCTTTGTATTTCTGTGGAGTCGGTTGTTACTTCTCTTTCATGTCTGATTTTATTTGGGTTCTGTGTTTTTTTCTTTTTCTTTTAAGTGATTTAGATAGAGAGAAGGGAGAGAGAGAGAGAAACATCAATCTGTTGTTCCACGTATTGATGCATTCATTAGTTGCTTCTGGTATGTGCCCTGAACAGGGATGAGACCTGCAACCTCGGCATGTTGGCCTGACACTCTAACCAACTGAGCTCCCAGCCAAGGCAAGTCTCCTTCAGTGTTAAATGACAGCCTTGCTGGGTGGAGTAGTCTTGGTTGGAGGTCCTTGCTTTTCATCCCTTGGACTATTATGGGCCAACCCTTCTTGCCTGAAATGTCTGCTGAGAAATCAGCTGACAGACTTACAGGAGCCGCCCTGTAGGTAGGGCTGTGTCTCTTGCTGCTCTTAAGATTCTCTTTATCTTTAATGTTTGTTCCCTTAAATATGATGTGTCTTGGTGGGAGCCTCTTTGGATTCACTTGCTTGGGACTCTCTGTGCTTTTGGCCTTGTGTATCTTTTTCCTTCTCCAGATTAGGGAGTTTAAAAAATATATTTTCTGTACTTATTTTAAGAGCAAGAGGAAGGGAGAGAGGAAAAGAAGAGGAGAAACATTGATGTGCAAGAGACACATCCATCAGTTGCCTTTTGCATGTCCCCAACTGTGGACCTGGCCCCCAACCCAGGCATGTGCCTTGACTGGGAATTGAACCAGTGACCTTTGGGTCCACAGGCTGGCACTGAGTCCACTGAGCCAAACCAGCCAGGGCTATTTTTTTCCTTACCTGAAGACATGCTTACAGAGAAGAACGGGGAGAGAAGAACATGGATCGGTTGCCTCCTGTGTGAGCCCCAACTGGGGACCCAACCCATCAGCTTTGTGGAAGACCCTCCAACGAACTGGCCCACCCGGCCAGAGCCAGGGTAGGGAAGTGTTTAGTCATGATCACCTGCAATAGGTGTCTGTCCCGTCTCTTCCTCTTCCTCCCCTGGTGCCGCTGTGATGTGGGTGTTGTTACACCTCATGTCGTCCCGCAGGTCTCTTCAACTGTTCTCATTTTTAAATATTTTTCTCTGTTCTGGTTGTGTTTCCTGCCATCTTGTCTTCCAAATCGCTGGTTTGATCCTCTCCTTCATCCAACCACTTATTCCTTCTACTATATTCATTTCAGATGTTATGTTCTTCACTTCTAACTTATTTTTTTTTTACTGCTTCTCTGTCCTTTTTCATGCTTACTATCTCTTCGTTTCAGTCCTCACTAATTGCGTCCGCTCTTCCCCTCAGTTTTGGGAGTATCTTTGGGCTCTGTTGCTGTGGACTTTCTCTGGTTGAGTTCCGGCATGCACTGCAGACGCGTGGTAACCGGCTGCCCGGGCAGTCTCCTCCCATCCTGTCCCCCAGGGCTGGGTGAGCCAGGCGGCTGGGGTGCATGGGAGAGGGGGTGGGTGGGCAGCTAAGGATCCCTTGCGTGGGGTAAAAATGCTGTTGGAATCATTAAGGGTTTTTAAAATTTTGTTCTGTGTCTGCTCCCACTGTAGAACGAAGCAGCCGAGTGAACGCTTAGCCCCCTCTCAGGGCAGCCCAGCTCTGCCTGCACCAGCACGAGAGGCCACCTGGACAGGACAGAAGTCCCACGGGGAAGGAGATGGGCCACTTCTCTCCCAGCTGTGTGAGTCTGTCCCAGCAGTGGGTCCATCTGCACTGCTGACGGCTGCTGGAGCCAGCAAGGCCTTTAGACACGACACTGACATGATCTGATTTATACTTTTTAAAGGTCACTCTGCATTATATGTCTATGTATTTTTAATAATCTAAGTTTTTTCAATTAGAGTTGACATCTAGTTTTAGATTCAGGTGCACCATGTAGTGGTTAGACATTTTAAGGTTACAGAGTGATTTCCCCAGTAAGTCTAGTAGGGGTGTCTTTCAACTGGGTGTTCATCCTATTCACAAGGGCTCTCCCCTCAAAGGCCCCACCCTTTATTTATTAGTGATTTATCTCACTGGGGTGCCCCTGGTTCACACAAGGATTTGGTTTTCAGCAGCACAGTTGCATAGAACCTCATGTGTATATTGTACTGTCTGTTCACCCCCAAGTCAAGTCTCCTTCCATCACCATTGCCTCCCCCTGGACCCCCTTCTCCCCTCCCCCCACCCCCTGGAGGTCACCCGGTGATTTGACATTTAAAATGATGTTTGAGATGCGTGTCGAGGGCACAGGCCATGGAGCTGCGATTTCCAACACATGTGCCGCGGCCCACTCGTGTGGCGCAGCAGTTTTTAAAACACCCCACACCTGACTGTTGATTCAGGGCACTGCCTTCTTTCCAAGGCTATTGCCATGTTTTCCTCTTTCTGTCTTTCTTTTTTCTCATTTTCCTTTTTTCTCAGGTGCTTCTTTCTAAGGAATTGTGCTTTACGTTTTCTAGGATCTGAAACGGCCAAGCAGCATTTCTTTAGGCCCCAACTTGAAGCCAGGGTGTCATACTTATCGGGCACTGTAAGGGGACAGGCCTGTGCCCAGCCTGCACAGTTCGGTGCCGCGCCCCCTGGGGACCGGGCACACCCGTGGAAAATCGCTCGTGTAGACAGATGCACAGGGTGAGGTGTGGTTCAGGCACAGAGGGCGGGCACGTGGCCGGGAGGCAGGAGAGGTGGAGACTGGAGGCCCAGCACAGGCCCCGCAGAGGCCCATGAGCGAGGGGAGGGGACAGGAAAACAGAAGGCCCAGCAGGAGGGAATGGGAGGGGACAGGGGACAGAGAAAGGGACAGGACAGGGACCTTAGGAGGGACAAGGAAGGGGGACATGAGAGGCCAGGAAGGACAGGGTGGGGGGACAGGGGAGCAGAGACAGGGGTAAAGAAGGGGGGATAGGGGACTCTCCATAAAAGGGGGCTGGTTTCCCTGTCACCTGTCCCTCCTCCCCTTTCTCTCCAGCTCTCACCCTTTCATGGAGGGTCCCCTGTCCCCTGCCTTCCCCCTCCATGGAGGGTCCCCTGTGCCCTACCTCCATGGAGGGTCCCCTGTCCCCTGCCCTCCCCACCTCCATGGAGGGTCCCCTGTCCCCTGCCCTCCCCACCTCCATGGAGGGTCCCCTGTCCCCTGCCCTCCCCACCTCCATGGAGGGTCCCCTGTCCCCTGCCCTCCCCACCTCCATGGAGGGTCCCCTGTCCCCTACCCTCCCCACCTCCATGGAGGGTCCCCTGTCCCCTGCCCTCCCCACCTCCATGGAGGGTCCCCTGTCCCCTGCCCTCCCCACCTCCATGGAGGGTCCCCTGTCCCCTGCCCTCCCCACCTCCATGGAGGGTCCCCTGTCCCCTGCCCTCCCCACCTCCATGGAGGGTCCCTATCCCCCTCCCCTGCCCCCCTCAATGGCGGGTCCCTATCGCCCTCCCTCCACCCTCCATGGAGGGTCCCCTGTCCCCGGCCCTCCCAACCTCCACGGAGGGTTCCCTGTCCCCTCCCCTCCCCACCTCCATGGAGGGTCCCTATCCCCCTCCCTTGCCCCCTCCACAGAGGGTCCCTATCCCCCTCCCCCCTCCATGGAGGGTCTCTATCCCCCTCCCCCTCCATGGAGGGTCCCTATCCCCCCCCCTTCCCCCCTCCACGGAGGGTCCCTATCCCCCTCCCCCCCTCCATGGAGGGTCCCTATCCCCCTCCCCCCTCCATGGAGGGTCCCTATCGCCCTCCCCTGCCCCCCTCAATGGCGGGTCCCTATCCCCCTCCCTCCCCCTCCATGGAGGGTCCCCTGTCCCCGGCTCTCCCAACCTCCACGGAGGGTTCCCTGTCCCCTCCCCTCCCCACCTCCATGGAGGGTCCCTGTCCACGTTCCCCTCCCCCCTCCATGGAGGGTTCCTATCCCCCTCCCCTCCCCCTCCATGGAGGGTCCCTATCCCCCTCCCCCCTCCATGGAGGGTCCCTATCCCCCTCCCCCCTCCATGGAGGGTCCCTATCCCCCTCCCCCTCCATGGAGGGTCCCTATCCCCCTCCCCCCTCCATTGAGGGTCCCTATCCTCTTCCCCCCTCCACAGAGGGTCCCTATCCCCCTCCCCCCTCCATGGAGGGTCCCTATCCCCCTCCCCCTCCATGGAGGGTCCCTATCCCCCTCCCCCCTCCACGGAGGGTCCCTATCCCCCTCCCCCCTCCATGGAGGGTCCCTATCCCTCTCCCCCCTCCATGGAGGGTCCCTATCCCCCTCCCCTCCCCTCACCCTCCATGGAGGGTCCCTATCCCTCTCCCTCCCCCTCCATGGAGGGTCCCTATCCCCCTCCCCTCCCCCTCCATGGAGGGTCCCTATCCCTCTCCCTCACCCTCCATGGAGGGTCCCTATCCCCCTCCCCTCCCCTCCCCCTCCATGGAGGGTCCCTTCCCCTTCCTCCCCCCTCCATGGAGGGTGCCTATCCCCCTGCCCTGCCCCCTCCATGGCGGGTCCCCTGTCCCCCCTCCACTCTCTCCTCCTTGGTGGGTCTTCTGTGTCCTGTCCCTGTCCCGTCACTCACAGGTCTCTTTGGGGCCTGCACCATGGTCTCCATCTTCACGTCTCCTGCCTCCGGGCCGCGGGCCGTGCCCGCCATCTGCACCCGAAGCACACGTCTCACCCTCCTTATCTGTCTCCCCCGGACCTGTGCTCTCACAACAGATCTCAGATGTCATTTAAATGTCAAATCCCGGGTGGTCTTTAAAAGTATAAACCAGATGATGCCCTTCTCGTGCCTACAGCCTTCATGGCTGTGATGGCCTCTTCCACCCACCAGAGGCCCTGTAGCCGCCCAGCCCCCTGCCCTGCACCCTGGCCAGCCTGGCTGTCCCCTGCTGGGGGCACTTGCTGTTGCTTTGGGGGTGGCTTCCCCAGTTCTCCATGGGGCCAGCTCTGTCTCATTAGCCAAATCTCACTTTAAGTGTGACAAGGTCTTGGGGAGCCCTTCCCTGCCACTGCTGGGGAGTCCCTGCAGCGGCCCCAGCCCAGCACTGTTTGGTATCAGGTGGCAACAGGTGACAGAAGTAACACGGGTCACAATGGTAAGACAGGTCATAGAGGTATCCTAGCAACTGTCCTGGGTCAGCCAGGGGGCCCAAGGTAACCAGTTGAGGCTGGATGAAGGGACCCCAGGCCAAGTTTTTCTAGGGCCCCTGGAAGCTGGGAGTGGCTTTGTCAGGGACATGGAAGGGAACAGTTCCCTAAGGAGAGGATGCTGCAAGCGCCCCACAAGCAAGGGGCCAGGCTTCCTGGAGCCTCTGGGGTGGAGCGCAGCCCCATGAACCCCAGTTTTCTTGCCACAGCACCTGGGAGTGCACCCTCTGTGCTGAGGGAGCTCCTTCTGAGTTCCTCAGGGCTGTGGGGGAAGACCCTTGTCATCCTCTCACTCCCTAGTCGCATTGCCTGAGTCTGGTATCTTCCTGGCTCCTGGCATCTTCCCAGACACAGTGCCATTCTGTCCACCTGTCTGTCTCCCCGCCCCTCTCAGCACCTGGAAGGGGGCCACAGAGGAGGGGACACCACTCATGTTTCTGATTTCATAAAATTCGACTGTTGTCATAAAACTGACTCATGAACATATGATTCCTCAAATGTCTTAAAGCATCTCAAATAAATAAATAAATTCACAAGTAAAAAAAATCTTTTCACTTTTTTGTCAAACCTGCATCAGATTTTGGTGCAGAGGTGCCACTGGGCCGCCTCCTGGAGGGGGCAGGTCCTGCCTGCAGACCAGGCTCTCACAGGATGTGCCATTGTCCCCATTCCCACAGGCCGGCCCTTTGGTGCTCCTGACACCTCATCTCATGGTCACCCGCCTGCTGTGGCTTCTGGCAAGGCTGGGGGCCTCCCATCCTGGGCCATCACAGCTCTGGTGACCTTAACTCCTTGAGGTCTCATTCTTGGTTCTTTCTTACTTGGGGATGAGGAATATGGCCACCGGAAGTAGGGGCAGCTCGGATGCTGTGGCTCGTGGCTGCAGGCCCGTGTGGGGAGTGGACAGTGTGGAGCAGCCCCTCCTGAAGCCGCTGCTAGCCGGCCTGTTGCCTGGCCATGCCCTTGATGGCAGCTCCCTTCTGGTTTTGTTTGAGGCTGTCAGGGACAGTGTCGGGGACAGAGTGATGTCAGGCGTCTGGTTGGTCTCCCTGGGATTAAGCAAGCAGGTGCTTTGGAGGCAGGAGGGGCAGACACAGCCGCCCATAGCGGGGTGCTGTTCCCCTCGGGAAATGCTTGTCCTCAGCAAACACCAGCCGATCCAAAAGCAGTTCTGCAGAGGGATGGGTTTTCCTTCCAAAGGTGAGACTGTAAAAACTAAGATGCAGCGAGGGCTCTGTTGGGAAAACCCGGATGAACTGGTCCTGCAGAAGGTGTCTGTTAGCTCCACACTGTGTCTGGGAAGCAGGAATGAGGGGCACAGTGGCAGATTCCAGGCCAAAAAGTATCCACATTCCTCACTGACATTTCAGCCATGGCTATGAAGACCCACAGGAAACAGCAGCTGCCCGGGCCCCCGTGGTGTTGTGGGGCCAGCTACCCCCCTGACTCGGGTAGAAGAGCATTGGGACGAGACTCTGTGATCCTGAGACTGATGGAGAGGTTGCCCTGCCTGCCCTGCCTGGGGCCCTCTTTCTTTCACGTGGCCAGACTTGGCCGGCCATGTGCTCAGCTGTCCCCGAGTCACTGAGCAGCTCTCTGGACACTGAGCTAGGACCAGAGCAGTGTCCAGGGCCCCCTTCAGACGCCCTTATCATGGAGGAGACAGCCTTTGTTTCAGAGCAATCACTTCCCAGTAGCAGCCCTAGGGTTGGACCCTCACCTCCTCCCCCAGGCCATTAACAGTAGCCACTGATTTCCTGTCCACAGCCCCAGGCTGCAGTGAAACTCAGAGTCTTATCTCTTGGGAGGTTTTCTTCCAACTGCACCCAACGGCATCTCCAGCAGGAGTCAGCATTGATGTTTCTGGTCCTCTCAACCCCAGAGCAGCCTTTCATGTCGTCTCTGTCTGTCCCTGTCCCACCACACCTGTCAGTCAGCTGGTGATTGTCACAAGCCCTGTGTGTGGGCTTCACGACCTCCCTCCCTCACCTGCACGACCTCCCGCTCATGTACAACTTCTTCACTGAGAGGAGACAACAGCAGCAATGTGGGTGGTGGGCATCAGCCCATTTACAGATGAAGGGTTTCAATACATTTACATAATTTGCTTCAGCCTGGTACTTTAGCTGACCATGGAAGTGGCTGGAGGGAACCTCTCTCTTCTTGTCCAAACCCTTCGACACTGGGGTGCACAACCATCTCCTCTCCCCCCTGCTGCTTTCCCCTGGAATGGCCAGCACGTGCAGTCGGGGCCTTACCTGCCTTGTGCTTTCCTGGTCCCAGGCCCTCTGGGGTCCTTGCTGAGGGGGTGGCAGGAAGAGATGAGTCTGTGCTCCAATGCACCGCCTCAGCCCTGATGGTCCATGCTCTGCAGACAACACGGTCCTGAAGGAGGAGGGAGAGAAGAGGCATGTTTGGGGGGGCTGGAAGGGCGGAGCTGGGGTACAGGTTGGAAGGCAGGAGGGAGAAGGTGCTGTCACCATGGGTGAGCCTGGGCACCATGCCAGTGCCTGTCTGTTGGGACCTGGGACTCCTTCCCGCCAGCACCATGAAAGAGACTGGGACTTACACTCCCTGCAGGAAGCATGAGATGCCTGGGACCTCTGCAAATGACTTCTCATGGAGCTTTAGTCTCTGTACCTGTAAAATGAGGCTGGCAGCCCTGCTGACCTTGGGATTGCTGTGATGAGGGACACGAGTGAAGCTTCTGCTACTATGGGTTCCAGCATCAGGGCTCCAACCAGCCAGCAGGCCCTTTGGGTGGATCAGGCTCCACTGGCTGGAAGGGCAGGAGGTGGGGGTGGGGCAGAAACACTCCCCCACTGCTCCCTTTGCCCAGGGGGAGGCTTCCAGTTGCTGCTGCTCAGTCATCTTTGGAATCCCTTCCCTGTGAGTTTGTGCCCAGGTTGTCGGGGTGTCTTCCTGCCTCCAGATCAGTCCTGAGGAGTAAATCCCAGCTGCCCTAGAGCAGCCGTCCAGGTTTGTCCAACTCCTTGGAGAGCAGATTCTTGTGCCTCCTTTTCTTGGCGGGGCAGTTCTTTCTAAGGGATGTGGGGTCATAGCTTTTGCGCCTCCTCCTCCTGCAGGTGCTGGCGGTGAGCTAACACTGTGCCCCTGCCAGAGCTTCACCTCCTGCAGTTCCATCCACACGGGTCCCAGCCCTCCCGGACTCCGAAGCCACAGCAATGTCCCAGACCAGGGGGCACCCTGGGCTGGACCCCAAGGGCACAGAGACATATGGTTTGGAGAAAACAAGGGTTCTTTAGTATTCATGCAGATTCTG